GGAGCCGTTCGCACCTTGATCATCTCCGGGTCTGCCTCTGTCTCCCCAGTCAGGAGGTTCTTGGTCTTCTGGAAGCGCCGCCGCTTGTACTTGTTGATCACTGGAAGGGAAGGGAATTCCTTGGGATGGGGAATTGCTTCCAGCTCCAAACAAGGCCGGAAAAGGGCTCTAAAGAGCCAGCACGGGCACAAACCCTCCTTCAGCTCTCCCACTTCCCCCAGTTCGCAATGGGAAGAGCTGGAATGCAGGGACCACGGACCCCATGAAGAGCCAAACCTTCAGCGTGGAAGAGCCCCCCCAATTCCTTCCCTTCCCCAACACAGACCCCTTTAGGCGAGGTGGGACCCCCCCATCCCACAGAGGGAACCCATAGGGATTGAAGGATGAATCCCAAGCGTGGAACCCTCCCTTGACCCAAAGCGCGACGGCTGGGGCTCGCTGTGGGATCCAGGATATGGGGACGGGGCTCCCCCCATTCCATACTTCGGGAAGTGTGGACGGTGGCGAGGCGCCGGTAGAGGTTCTTCTGCCGGGGGTCGGGGTGGAAGCCGCTCTTGGTGAAGTAGACATGGACGTAGATGGAGCCGTTGTGCTGCACGCTCTGGAAGGGGAGGTGGGAAGGGGTTGGGATCTGCTCCAGCTCCTTCCCAAGCCATCCCTCAGCTTCCCACTGATGGGGAATGGGTTGGGGTCAGCTCCCCACAGTGGTGCTGCTAAACAGGGATCCCTTTATGGATGCTCCTTGTATCCATCTGCTTCCCCCCATCCATCCATGCCTTCCTCCTCATCCATGGGTATTGGGGGTGCAGGGGGGGGGCTCAGCACCTGCGAGATGGCCACGTCCCCAGCGTGCTCATAGCAGCCATCAGCGTTGTCCCCACTGGTCCAGTCCCCATAGACCAGGTCCCTCTTCTGCCAGAACAGGGCTGAGCTCACATTGAAGTCAGTGAAGTGCTCGTGCTCCGAGATGTACACATAGAGGTCCTGCAGGGAACGGGACACGGAGGGGTCCTGCTGCCCCACAGCACCCCCCCCATACACAATAGGGCCTATGGGTCCGGGTGTTACCATCAGGGTGTCCTTAGGGAACAGGTTCCTGCTGGGTGCCCGCGGCGTCCCCCCCGTGCTGCTCTGCTCCTGCGGCGCGGGGCCCCTCCGGAACCAGCTGCTGATGGCCCAGATGATGAAGATCCTATGGGAAGAGAGGGAGAGGCGGCTCCAAAGGGGTGATCCTGGGATCCATCCTGCTCCTGGGATGGAGCCTGGAGCTGCGCTTGGGAATGCTGAGGAGCTGCGGGGTATCCCAGAGGAGGCTCCAAAGGGGTGGCCATGGCGGTGCTGGCAGCACCGGGTCCATGGCACCAGTACTGGGTCTATGGACCCAACAGGACAAGGTCTATGGCCCCGGTACCAGGCTATGGGCACAGCAGGACCGGGTCTATGGCACCAGTACCGGGCTATGGGCACAGCAGGACCGGGTCTATGGCCCCAGTACCGGGCTATGGGCACAGCAGGACGGGGTCTATGGCACCAGTACCGGGCTATGGGCACAGCAGGACCGGGTCTATGGCGCCAGTACCGGGCTATGGGCACAGCAGCACTGGGTCTATGGTGCTAGTACTGGATACGAGCACGGCAGGACTGGGTCTATGGCCCCAGTACCGGGCTATAGGCACGGCAGGACCAGGTCTGTGGACCCAGTACCGGGCTATGGGCACGGCAGCACTGGGTCTATGGTGCCAGTACCGGGCTATGGGCACAGCAGGACGGGGTCTATGGCCCCAGTACCGAGCTATGGGCACGGCAGCACTGGGTCTATGGTGCCAGTACCAGGCTATGGGCACAGCAGCACTGGGTCTATGGCGCCAGTACCAGGCTATGGGCACAGCAGGACTGGGTCTATGGTGCCAGTACCGGGCTATGGGCACAGCAGCACTGGGTCTATGGTGCCAGTACCAGGCTATGGGCACAGCAGGACTGGGTCTATGGTGCCAGTACCGGGCTATGGGCACAGCAGCACCGGGTCTCTGGTGCCAGTACCAGGCTATGGGCACAGCAGGACTGGGTCTATGGTGCCAGTACCGGGCTATGGGCACAGCAGGACCGGGTCTATGGCGCCAGTACCAGGCTATGGGCAAGGCAGCACCGGGTCTATGGCCCCAGTACTGGGCTATGGGCACAGCAGGACCGCGTCTATGGTGCCAGTACAGGGCTATGGGCACAGCAGGACGGGGTCTATGGCACCAGTACCGGGCTATGGGCACAGCAGGACAGGGTCTATGGCACCAGTACCGGGCTATGGGCACAGCAGGACAGGGTCTATGGCACCAATACCGGGCTATGGGCACAGCAGGACCGGGTCTATGGCCCCAGTACCGGGCTATGGGCACAGCAGGACAGGGTCTATGGCACCAGTACCAGGCTATGGGCACAGCAGGACCGCGTCTATGGTGCCAGTACAGGGCTATGGGCACAGCAGGACAGGGTCTATGGCACCAGTACCGGGCTATGGGCACAGCAGGACAGGGTCTATGGCACCAGTACCGGGCTATGGGCATAGCAGGACCGGGTCTATGGCCCCAGTACCGGGCTATGGGCACAGCAGGACTGGGTCTATGGCCCCGGTACTGGATATGGGCACAGCAGGACTGGGTCTATGGCCCCGGTACTGGATATGGGCACAGCAGCACCGGGTCTATGGCTCCACTACCAGGCTATGGGCACAGCAGGACAGGGTCTATGGCTCCAGTACTGGGCTATGGGCACAGCAGCACAGGGTCTATGGCCCCAGTACCGGGCTATGGGCACAGCAGCACCGGGTCTATAGACCCGACAGGACCGGGTCTATGTCCCCGGTACCGGTCTAGGGGCACGGCAGCACCGGGTCTATGCCCCCGGTACCGGTCTATGGGCACGGCAGCACCGGGTCTATGTCCCCGGTACCGGTTCTATGGGCTCGGCAGCCCAGGCCGGGCCTCACCTGAAGAGCACCCCCTTGATGACCTGCCAGGCGTTGGGCGCCGCTTGCTGCCGCTGCGTCTCCGCCGCCGCCGCCTCTCCGGCGCTGCCGTTGCTGCTGACCTGCGGAGGGGGCACAGGGACCGCTCAGAGCCCCGGGGCCGCCCCGGCTCCCCACAGCCCCGCAGCGGTCCCGCTCCTACCTGCCCCGGGCCCGGCACCGCCGCCGTCGCCGCCGCCTCAGTGCCCGGCGCCGCCATCTTGTTGCGCCGCTGCTTCCCACCCCCCTCCCCCCGGCCCCTTCCACTTCCCTGTCCCGCCGAGATCTCGCGAGAGCAGAGGCCAGCGCCACGCCCAATGGCGCGGTGACGTCATGGCGGGCGGCAGCCAATGGCGGCGCTGCCCGCCAGGGGATTTCCAGCTGAGGGGAGCGGACCCCGGGAACATGGCGCAGGCAGGAGGTGAGGGGAGAGGCGGCGGCGGGGCCGGGATCGGGACAGGGACCGGGACGGGGGCACCGGCACCGGGGGTCCCATAGGGGGGCACTCGGGAGAGCCCGGTTCACGCCATGAGGGTTGCTGTGGGCCGGGAGTCCGGGGTCCGGGGGGTGTCAAGCACCGGGACCCCCCCCCCCGGGTCCTGCGGCCTGCATGGGGCCTGGTGCTGGGCACCCCCTTGGGTGTAATGGGGGGCTCATGCATACGTGTGTATGTATCCATGGGGATGTTCCCGTGTATCCATAGGGGATATATGTATGTATCCATGGGGATGTTCCCGTGTATCCATAGGGGATATATGTATGTATCCATGGGGATGTTCCCGTGTATCCAGAGGGGATATATGTATGTATCCATAGGGGATATATGTATGTATCCATGGGGATGTTCCTGTGTATCCATAGGGGATATATGTATGTATCCATGGGGATGTTCCTGTGTATCCGTAAGGGATATATGTATGTATCCATGGGGATGTTCCCCTGTATCCATAGGGGATATATGTATGTATCCATGGGGGTGTTGCCGTGTATCCATAGGGGGTATATGTATGTATCCATGGGGGTGTTCCCGTGTATCCATAGGGCATATATGTATGTATCCATGGGGATGTTCCCGTGTATCCATAGGGGATATATGTATGTATCCATGGGGGTGTTCCCGTGTATCCATAGGGGATATATGTATGTATCCATGGGGGATGTTCTCATGTATCCATAGGGGATATATGTATGTATCCATGGGGGGTGTTCTCGTGTATCCATAGGGGATGTATGTGTGTATCCATGGGGGGTGTTCCCGTGTATCCATAGGGGATATATGTATGTATCCATGGGGGATGTTCTCATGTATCCATAGGGGATATATGCACATATTCATGGGGGATGTTCCCTTGTACCCATGGGGATGTTTCCACCTATCCATGGGGATTTACCTGTGTTTCTATAGGGGGATGTACCTGTGTATCCACAGGAGATGTTCTCCTGTATCCATGGGGTGATGTTCCCATGTGTCAATGGGATAACATTCCCATGTGTTTTGTGGGGTAACATTCCCATGCATCTATGGGGGATATTCCCATATATCCATGGGGTAACATTCCCATGTATCAATGGGGTGACATCCCCCTGTATCAATGGGGTGACATTCCCATGTATCTATGGGGTGACATTCCCATGTATTTATTGGGTGACATTCCTATGTATCTATGGGGTGACATTCCCATGTATCTATGGGGTGACATTCCCATGTATCTATGGGGTGACATTCCCATGTATCTATGGGGTGACATTCCCATGTATTTATTGGGTGACATTCCCATGTATTTATTGGGTGACATTCCCGTGTATTTATTGGGTGACATTCCCATATATCTGTGGGGTGACGTCCCCATTTATCTATAGGGTGACATTCCCGTGTATCTATGGGCTGACATTCCCATGTATTTATTGGGTGACATTCCCATGTATCCATGGGGTGACGTTCCCATGTATTTACTGGGTGTCATTCCCATACATCCCTGCATTAACATTCCCATGTTCCCATAGGAGCTGCCCTGCAGGATCCCGGCCTGGCCATGGCGCACGCTGCTCCCGTCCCTGGTAAGCTCCCCCTGATCCCATTGGATCCCCCCTGGACCAGGGTGCCCCCAGCTGAGGGTCCCCTCAGGGGGCACCCATGGGTGCGGGTGCCTCCATGGCCTTCCCTTTGCAGATGATTTAGGTGAGTGATTCCCATCGGCATCCCGGTGTGTTGGGGGCCGGAACCGGATCCTGGACCTTCAGGTGATGGGATCCCACCTCCCATGGGATGCAGTGGGAGGGCAATGGAGGGGATGGGGCTGCTCCCCCCTCAATGAAGGAGGTGGGAAAGGGGATCCCATGGGATCAGACCCGGCTCAGAGGGGTCCTGCTCGCCCCATAGCGATCATTGAAGAGGTGATGAAGGAGGACGGATTCCAGCCGGATCCAGCCCTGCTCCACCCCAAACCCCCCCCCCGAGCCTCGGCCAAGCTGGTCCCGCGCGGCTCCTGCCCCATAGCGGGCCCGGCGCGGGCAGGCAGCGCCCCACAGCTCACCCAGAGCCTCAGCAGCCTCTCTCTGGGGGGGGGCACGGCGCGGAGCCGGTGGGTTCCCAACGCTGGGAATGTGAAGGAGGAGCTGGAGGAGCTGCTGGAGCCGCCCCGGCTCGTGATCACCGAGCAGCCCAAGCAGCGCGGGATGCGCTTCCGCTACGAGTGCGAGGGCCGCTCGGCTGGGAGCATCCTGGGCCAGAGCAGCACCGAGGCCAGTAAGACCCTGCCCGCCATCGAGGTGAGCTGGGAGGCACTGGGATGGGGATTGGGAATGGGATTGGGAGCGGGATGTGGTGGAGTCAATGAGGTACATGGAAATGGCTCTGGGATGGATGGAGAAGGATTTGGGATGCTGGGGGAGGAGAAGCTCACTGGGGGCCAGCAACAGGCCATTGTGTCCTATGGGAGCTTCCCACTGTGTCCTATGGGAGCTCCCCAGTGTGTCCTATGGGAGCTCCCCAGTGTGTCCTATGGGAGCTCCCCACTGTGTCCTATGGGAGCTCCCCATTGTGTCCTATGGGAGCTCCCCATTGTGTCCTATGGGAGCTCCCCATTGTGTCCTATGGGAGCCCCATGGTGTCCTATGGGAGCTCCATGGTGTCCTATGGGAGCTTCCCATTGTGTCCTATGGGAGCTTCCCACTGTGTCCTATGGGAGCTCCCCACCATGTCCTATGGGAGCTCCCCATTATGTCCTATGGGAGCTTCCCACTGTGTCCTATGGGAGCTCCCCATTGTGTCCTATGGGAGCTCCCCACTGTGTCCTATGGGACCTTCCCAGTGTGTCCTATGGGAGCTCCCCACTGTGTCCTATGGGAGCTCCCCATTGTGTCCTATGGGAGCTCCCCACTGTATCCTATGGGAGCTCCCCATTGTGTCCTATGGGAGCTCCCCACTGTGTCCTATGGGAGCTCCCCACTGTATCCTATGGGAGCTCCCCATTGTGTCCTATGGGAGCTTCCAACTGTGTCCTATGGGAGCTGCAGGTCCAAGGGGGCTCCTAAAGGGGCTCCAGGGGGCCCGGAGAGTGGCTTTGGCCACGGGATGGCTGGGATGAGATAATGGGAGCAGAAGGAGCTGGATGGGATCTTGGGCTGAAGCTCTTCCCCATGAGCTCGGTGGGATGCTATGGATCCATCCATTGGGATGCTCCATCCCCGGCAATGCCCAAGGAGCAGCCTGCCCTATGGAAGGAACCCCATGGGATGGACCCGGATGATCCCACCCCCTTCCCTGCCTCTCCCTTGGGTGCTGCTGCCCCATGGCCGGGTTTGGTCCCTGCAGCTCCTGAACTGCGGCGCGATCCCGGAGGTGACGGTGACCGCGTGCCTGGTGTGGAAGGATTGGCCCCACCGCGTGCACCCCCATGGCCTGGTGGGCAAGGACTGCAGCAACGGCCTCTGCCAGGTGGTGCTGAGGCCCCAGAGCAACCCCCGGCACAGGTACGGGCATGGCATGGGGCTGGGATGGATGGAGCTGACGCCAGGGAGGTGGGAAGGGGCAGGACTGGAGGTTGGGATGGGTTGGGATGGATGGAGCTGACTGCAGGGAGGTGGGAAGGGGCAGGGTTCCAGGTTGGGATGGGTTGGGATGGATGGAGCTGACTGCAGGTGATGGGAAGGGGCAGGACTGGAGGTTGGGATGGGGCTGGGATGGATGGAGCTGACTCCAGGGAGGTGGGAAGGGGCAGGGTTCCAGGTTGGGATGGGTTGGGATGGATGGAGCTGACGCCAGGAGGGTGGGAAGGGGCAGGGTTCCAGGTTGGGATGGGTTGGGATGGATGGAGCTGACTCCAGGGAGGTGGGAAGGGGCAGGGTTCCAGGTTGGGATGGGTTGGGATGGATGGAGCTGACTCCAGGGAGATGGGAAGGGGCAGGACTGGAGGTTGGGATGGGTTTAGGATGGGGCTGGGATGGGTTGGGATGGGCTGGGATGGATGGAGCTGACGCCAGGGAGGTGGGAAGGGGCAGGGTTGGAGGTTGGGATGGGGCTGGGATGGATGGAGCTGACTCCAGGAGGGTGGGAAGGGGCAGGGTTCCAGGTTGGGATGGGTTGGGATGGATGGAGCTGACTGCAGGGAGGTGGGAAGGGGCAGGATTGGAGGTTGGGATGGGTTGGGATGGATGGAGCTGACGCCAGGGAGGTGGGAAGGGGCAGGATTGGAGGTTGGGATGGGTTGGGATGGATGGAGCTGACGCCAGGGAGGTGGGAAGGGGCAGGATTGGAGGTTGGGATGGGTTGGGATGGATGGAGCTGACGCCAGGGAGGTGGGAAGGGGCAGGATTGGAGGTTGGGATGGGTTTAGGATGGGGCTGGGATGGGTTGGGATGGGGTTGAGATGGGCTGCGATGGAGGGAGCTGCCTCCAGGAAGTGCAAAGGGGTAGGATTGCAGGGTGAGATAGGGTTGAGATGTGTTGGGATGGGGTTGGGATAGCTTGGGATGGGGTTGGGATAGCTTGGGATGGGGTTGGGATCGTTTGGGATGGGGTTGGGGTGAATTGAGATGTGTTGGGATGGGGTTGAGATGGGTTGGGATGTGTTGGGATGTGTTGGGATGGGATTGGGATGGGTTGGGATGGGGTTGGGATGGATTGGGATGGAGTTGGGATGGGTTGGGATGGGGCTGCGATGGGTTTGGGATGTGTTGGGATGGGTTTGGAATGTATTGGGATGGAGTTGGGATGGGGATGGGATGGAGTTGGGATGGGTTGGGATGGAGTTGGGATGGGGTTGGGATGTGTTGGGATGGATTGGAATGTGTTGGGATGGATTGGGATGGGGTTGGGATGGATTGGGATGGGGTTGGGATGGATTGGGATGGGGTTGGGATGTGTTGGGATGGGTTGGGATGGGTTGGGATGGATTGGGATGGGGTTGGGATGGGGTTAGAATGTGTTGGGATGGATTGGGATGTGTTGGGATGTGGTTGGAATGTGTTGGGATGGGATTGGGATGGAGTTGGGATGGATTGGGATGTGTTGGGATGGGGTTGGGATGGATTGGGATGGGGTTGGGATGTGTTGGGATGGATTGGGATGGGGTTGGGATGGATTGGGATGGGGTTGGGATGGATTGGGATGGAGTTGGGATGGATTGGGATGAGTTGGGATGGATTGGGATGGGGTTGGGATGGGGTGGGGATGGGGTTTGGATGTATTGGGATGGGGTTGGGATGGATTGGGATGTGTTGGGATGTGATGGGATGTGTTGGGATGTGTTGGGATGTGATGGGATGGAGTTGGGATGTGTTGGGATGAGTTGGGATGGATTGGGATGGGGTTGGGCTGGAAGGAGCCGGCTCCATCCCCTGCCTGCAGCTTCAGCAACCTGGGCATCCAGTGCGTGAAGAAGAAGGAGATCGAGGCGGCCATCGAGAGGAAGCTCCAGCTGGGCATCGACCCCTTCAAAGGTAGCTCCGGGGGCTCCATCCATGTCCCGGGGGGATGAGCCCATCCCCCATGGGGCCACCAACCCCGTCCCCCCCGTCCTTGTGTCCCCCCCGCAGCCGGAGCGCTCCGGAACCACCAGGAGGTGGACATGAACGTGGTGCGGATCTGCTTCCAGGCTTCCTACCGGGACGCGGCGGGGGACACGCGGCACCTGGGGCCCGTGCTCTCCGAGCCCATCTTCGACAAGAGTACGTGGGGAGGCATCTCCAGCCCCATCTCCATCCCCATCCCATCCCCATCCCCATCCCATCCCCATCCCCATCCCCGTCCCCATTCCATCCCCATCCCATCCCCATCCCCATCCCCATCCCCATCCCATCCCCATCCCATCCCCATCCCAACCCCATCCCCATCGCTATCCCCATCCCCATCCCTGTCCCCAGCCCATCCCCATCCCCATCCAGATCCTCATGCCCATCATCATCCCCATCTCCATCCCATCCCATCCCCATCCCCATCCCCATCCCCATGCCCATCCCATCCCCATCCCATTCCCATCCCCATCCCCCTCCCCCTCCCCATCCCCATCCCCATGCCCATCCCCATCCCATCCCCATACCCATCCCCATCCCATCCCCATCCCCATCCCCATCCCATCCCCATCCCCATCCCCATCCCCGTCCCCGTCCCCATCCCATCCCCGTCCCCGTCCCCATCCCATCCCCATCCCCAGCCCATCCCATCCCCATCCCCATCCCATCCCCATCCCATCCCCATCCCATCCCCATCCCCATCCCATCCCCATCCCCATCCCATCCCCATCCCATCCCCATCCCATCCCCATCCCCGTCCCCGTCCCCATCCCATCCCCATCCCCGTCCCCGTCCCCATCCCATCCCCATCCCCAGCCCATCCCATCCCCATCCCCATCCCCATCCCATCCCCATCCCATCCCCATCCCATCCCCATCCCCATCCCATCCCCATCCCCATCCCATCCCCATCCCATCCCCATCCCATCCCCGTCCCCGTCCCCGTCCCCATCCCATCCCCATCCCCGTCCCCATCCCCATCCATGGGGACCAGGTGGGAAGGGGTGATCCCAGTGGGAATGTTCCTGATCCCATTCTATGGGGATTGGATGGGAAGGGGTGATCCCAATGAGAACGTTCCTGATCCCATTCCCTGGGGATTGGATGGGAAAGGGTACCCAGTGAACCCCACCCCACCAACAAACCCATGGGAACGTTCCTGATCCCATTCCATGGGGTTTGGGTGGGAAGGGGTGATCCCGATGGGAACGTTCCCGATCCCATTCCATGGGGTTTGGGTGGGAAGGGCTGATCCCGATGGGAACGTTCCCGATCCCATTCCATGGGGTTTGGGTGGGAAGGGCTGATCCCGATGGGAACATTCCCGATCCCATTCCATGGGGTTTGGGTGGGAAGGGCTGATCCCGATGGGAACGTTCCCGATCCCATTCCATGGGGTTTGGGTGGGAAGGGCTGATCCCGATGGGAACATTCCCGATCCCATTCCATGGGGACTGGGTGGGAAGGGCTGATCCTGATGGGAACGTTCCCGATCCCATTCCATGGTGATCCCATAGAATCCACCAACACGTCGGAGCTGCGGATCTGCCGCATGAACAAGGAGAGCGGCCCCTGCACGGGGGGGGAGGAGCTTTACCTGCTCTGCGACAAGGTCCAGAAAGGTACCGGGAACACTGGGATCACACTGGGATACACTGGGATAGCACCTGGATGCACTGGGATACATTGGGAGCACACTGGGGTACACCGGGATAGCACCTGGATACACTGGGAGTGCACCAGGAGCACACTGTGGAACACGGGGATGCATTGGGAGCACACTGGGATACACTGGGATAGCACCTGGATACACTGGGAGTGCACCAGGAGCACACTGTGGAACACGGGGATGCATTGGGAGCACACTGGGATACACTGGGATAGCACCTGGATACACTGGGACACACTGGGATACATAGGGTGCTGTAGGGCTCCATCGGGTGCTCTAGGTCTCTACAAGAGGCTGTAGGTCTCTATAGGGTGCTGTAGGGCTCCATAGGGTGCTGTAGGTCTCTATAGGGTGCTGTAGGGCTCCGTAGGGTGCTGTAGGTCTCTATAGGATGCTGTAGGACTCCATAGGGTGCTGTAGGAGTCCATAGGGTGCTGTAGGGCTCCATAGGATGCTGTAGGTCTCTATAGGATGCTCTAGGTCTCCATAGGATGCTATAGGTGTCTATAGGATGCTCTAGGTCTCTATAGGATGCTGTAGGTCTCTATAGGATGCTGTAGGTCTCTATAGGATGCTATAGGATGCCATAGGATGCTATAGGATGTTATAGGATGCTATAGGTCTCTATAGGATGCTGTAGGTCTGTATAGGATGCTGTAGGTCTCTATAGGATGCTATAGGTCTCTATAGGATGTCTCCCCCTCTGGCAGAGGACATAGCAGTGGTGTTCTGTACGGGCACATGGGAGGCAGATGTGTGGGTGCTCCATAGGATGCTGTAGGTCTCCATAGGATGCTCTAGGTCTCTATGGGATGCTATAGGGCTCCATAGGATCCTATAGGGTGTCTCCCCTTTGGCAGAGGACATCGCGGTGGTGTTCCGTACGGGCTCGTGGGAGGCAGATGTGTGGGTTCTCCATAGGATGCTCTAGGTCTCTATAGGATGCTCTAGGTCTCCACAGGATGCTGTAGGTCTCTATAGGATGCTCTAGGGCTCCATAGGATCCTATAGGTGTCTATAGGATGCCTCCCCCGCTACAGAGGACATAGCGGTGGTGTTCCGTACGGGCTCGTGGGGCGATATGGGGTGCTCCATAGGATGCTCTAGGTCTCTATAGGATGCTACATAGGATGCTGTAGGTCTATAGGATGCTATAGGTGTCTATAGGGTGCTGTAGGATGCGGTTGATGCAAGAGGATGCAGATGTGTGGGTGCTATAGGATGCTTTAGGACATTATAGGATGCTATAGGATGCTCTACGGAGCTATAGGATGCTGTAGGATGCGGTAGGATGCAATAGGATGCTATAGAATGCTATAGAATGCTTTAGGACTTTATAGGATGCTATAGGATGCTACAGGATGCTGTAGGAAGCTATAGGATATCTGGTGTCTACGGATCTACATGACGCATAGGACATTACGGTGCTATAGCGTGCTGTAGGATGCTCTTGGATGCTCATAGGATGCTCTAGGACACTATAGGATGCTATAGGGCCTCATAGGATGCTCTAGGACTCTATAGGATCCTTGCAGGATCTCCCCTAAGGACATATCGGATGTTCCGTAGGGCTCGTAGGAGGCAGATGTGTGGATGCTATAGGATGCTCTAGGACTCTATAGGATGCTCTAGCTCCATAGGATGCTGTAGGTCTCTATAGGATACTCTAGGTGTCTATAGGGTGTCTAGGACTCTATAGGACATAGCAGTGGTGTTCCGTACGGGCTGTAGGAGGCAATGTTGGGTGCTCCATAGGATGCTGTAGGACACTATAGGACACTATAGGGTTCTACACCATAGGACATAGGTGATGTCCGTACGGGCTATAGGAGCAGACTGTAGGTGCACTATAGGATGCTCTAGGTCACTATAGGATGCTCTAGGACACCATAGAACACTATAGGACACCATAGGATCCTATAGGTCTCTATAGGATGTCTCCCTGCCACAGAGGACATAGTGGTGCTCCGTACGGACTCATAGGAGGCAGATATAGGATGCTCATAGGATGCTCTAGGACTCTATAGGACACTATAGGCCACCATAGGACGCTATAGGACACCATAGGACACTATAGGGTCTACACTCATAGGACATAGCAGTAGTGCTCTAGGGCTCTAGGAGGCAGATGTTGGATGCTATAGGATGCTGTAGGTGCTATAGGACGCTGTAGGACACTATAGGACACTACTAGGTCTACTCTACTCCAGAGGACATAGCGATGCTGTCCGAACGGCATACAGATGGAGCTCATAGGATGCTCTAGGACACTATAGGAGCTTAGGACACCATAGGATGCTATAGGATGCTATAGGATGCTATAGGTGCTATAGGACGTGTAGGACGCTATAGGACATAGGAGTATAGGACCCTAAGGGCTGTAGGACGCAGACGTCTGGATGCTCCATAGGACGCTGTAGGACGCTGTAGGATGCTATAGGCCCCATCCTCATAGGACATAGCGACGCTGTCAGTACGCTCTAGGATGCAATATGGGTGCTCCATAGGATGCTATAGGACACCATAGGATGCTCTAGGACGCTGTAGGATGCTATAGAACGCTATAGGACCCTATAGGACCCTATAGGGTTCCCCCTCCCAGAGGACATAGCGGTGGTGTTCCGTACGGGCTCGTGGGAGGCAGATGTGTGGGTGCTCCATAGGATGCTCTAGGTCTCTATAGGATGCTCTAGGTCTCCATAGGATGCTCTAGGTCTCCATAGGATCCTATAGGTGTCTATAGGGTGTCTCCCTGCCACAGAGGACATAGCGGTGGTGTTCCGTACGGGCTCGTGGGAGGCAGATGTGTGGGTGCTCCATAGGATGCTCTCAGCCTATAGGATGCTCTAGGACACTATAGGATACTATGGGTCTATCCACTATAGGACATAGCAGTGGTGCTCCTAGGACCCATAGGACCCAGATGTATGGGTGCTCCATAGGACACTATAGGACACTATAGGACACTATAGGACTCTATAGGTCTCCCCCTCCAGAGGACATAGCTGGTGCTCTAGGACCCATAGGACAATATAGGATGCTCATAGGATGCTCTAGGACACTATAGGACCCTATAGGACACCATAGGACACTCTAGGACGTCTACCACACCATAGGACATAGCGGTCTAGTACACTACAGGCTATAGGACACATAGAACACTATAGGATGCTCTAGGACACCATGGACCTAGGACACCATAGGATGCTATAGGGTTTCTCCCCCCCACAGAGGACATAGCGGTGGTGTTCCGTACGGGCTCGTGGGAGGCAGATGTGTGGGTGCTCCATAGGATGCTCTAGGTCTCTATGGGATGCTCTAGGTCTCCATAGGATGCTGTAGGTGTCTATAGGATGCTATAGGGCTCCATAGGTGTCTATAGGGTTTCTCCCCCTCCAGAGGACATAGCGGTGGTGTTCCGTACGGGCTCGTGGGAGGCAGATGTGTGGGTTCTCTATAGGATGCTCTAGGTCTCTATGGGATGCTCTAGGTCTCCATAGGATGCTGTAGGTCTCTATAGGATCCTATAGGGCTCCATAGGTGTCTATAGGGTGTCTCCCTGCCACAGAGGACATAGCAGTGGTGTTCCGTACGGGCTCGTGGGAGGCAGATGTGTGGGTGCTCCATAGGATGCTGTAGGTCTCTATGGGATGCTATAGGTCTCCATAGGATCCTATAGGGTTTCTCCCCCTCCAGAGGACATAGCGGTGGTGTTCCGTACGGGCTCGTGGGAGGCAGATGTGTGGGTGCTCCATAGGATGCTCTAGGTCTCTATGGGATGCTCTAGGTCTCCATAGGATGCTGTAGGTCTCCATAGGATCCTATAGGGTTTCTCCCCCCTACAGAGGACATAGCGGTAGTGTTCCGTACGGGCTCGTGGGAGGCAGATGTGTGGATGCTATAGGATGCTCTAGGACACTATAGGATACTATAGGATGCTATAGGATGCTCTAGGACTCTATAGGATGCTCTGGGATGCTGTAGGACACTATAGGATGCTCTAGGATGCTGTAGGACACTATAGGATGATATAGGACGCTATAGGACATTATAGGATGCTCTAAGACACTATAGGATGCTATAGGATGCTCTAGGATACTATAGGACACTCTAGGACACTCTAGGGTGCTCTAGGACACTATAGGATACTCTAGGATGCTATAGAACGCTATAGGACACTGTAGGACACTATAGGACACTATAGGACACCATAGAACACTATAGGATGCTCTAGGACACTATAGCACACTATAGGACACCATAGGACACTATAGGATGCCCTACGACACTATAGGACACTATAGGACACTATAGCACACTATAGGACACCATAGAACACTACAGGATGCTCTAGGACCCTATAGGACCCTATAGGACACTATAGGACACCATAGAACACTATAGGACACCATAGGACACTATAGGACGCTATAGGACACCATAGAACACTATAGGATGCTCTAGGACACCATAGGACACTATAGGATGCTATAGGATGCTCTAGGACACTATAGTACCCTATAGGACACCATAGAACACTATAGGACGCTCTAGGACACCATAGAACACTATAGGACGCTCTAGGACACTATAGGACACTATAGGACACCATAGAACACTATAGGATGCTCTAGGACACCATAGGACACCATAGGATGCTATAGGATGCTATAGGATGCTATAGGATGCTATAGGACGCTGTAGGACGCTGTAGGACGCTCTAGGATGCTCTAGGATGCTCTAGGATGCTATAGGATGCTATAGGACACCATAGGATGCTATAGGACGCTATAGGATGCTCTAGGGCTCCATAGGATCCTATAGGTGTCTATAGGGTGTCTCCCCCTCCAGAGGACATAGCAGTGGTGTTCCGTACGGGCTCGTGGGAGGCAGATGTGTGGGTGCTCCATAGGATGCTGTAGGTCTCTATAGGATGCTCTAGGTCTCCATAGGATGCTGTAGGTCTCTATAGGATGCTATAGGTCTCTATAGGATGTCTCCCCCTCTGGCAGAGGACATAGCAGTGGTGTTCCGTACGGGCTCGTGGGAGGCAGATGTGTGGGTGCTCCATAGGATACTGTAGCTCTCTATAGGATGCTCTAGGTCTCCATAGGATGCTCTAGGTCTCTATAGGATCCTATAGGTCTCTATGGGGTTTCTCCCCCCACAGAGGACATAGCGGTGGTGTTCCGTACGGGCTCGTGGGAGGCAGATGTGTGGGTGCTCCATAGGATGCTGTAGGTGTCTATAGGATGCTGTAGGTGTCTATAGGATCCTATAGGTGTCTATAGGGTTTCTCCCCCTCCAGAGGACATAGCAGTGGTGTTCCGTACGGGCTCGTGGGAGGCCCGCGCTGACTTCTCGCAGGCGGACGTGCACCGCCAGGTCGCCATCGTGCTGCGGACCCCCCCCTACCAGCACCTGGAGCTGGAGCAGCCGGTGGAGGTGGAGGTGGTGCTGCAGCGCCTGACGGACAGCGCCTGCAGCCAGGCCTTCCCCTTCACCTACCTGCCCCGCAGCCACGGTGAGGGGCACCGGGGTACTGGGGGGGTGGGGATACTGGGGGGTATGGGGATACAGGGATACAGGGGGGGATATGGGGATACAGGGGTGATGGGGATACAGGGGGTGATGGGGATACAGGGATACAGGGTGATGGGGATACAGGGATACAGGGGGTGATGGGGATACAGGGGGTGATGGGGATACAGGGGGGGATGGGGATACAGGGATACAGGGGGGCTATGGGGATACAGGGGGGCTATGGGGATACAGGGGTGATGGGGATACAGGGGGTGATGGGGATACAGGGGGTGATGGGGATACAGGGGGTGATGGGGATACGGGGGGTGATGGGGATACGGGGGGGGATGGGGATACAGGGGGTGATGGGGATACAGGGGGGGATGGGGATGCGGGGGGGTGATGGGAATGGGTGATGGGGATATGGGGGGTGATGGGGATGATGGGGATGTGGGGGGTGATGGGGATGTGGAGGTCATGGGGATGGCGTGTGATGGGGATATTGGGGTGATGGGGATGTGGGAGTGATGGGGATGGGGGTTGATGGGGATGGGGGGGTGATGGGGATGTGGGGGTGATGGGGATGTGGGAGTGATGGGGATACAGGGGGTCATGGGGATGGGGGAGTGATGGGGATGGGGTGATGGGGATGTGGGGTAATAGTGATGGGGGATACAGGGGGTGGGGGGGATGGGGACATATGGGGGTGATGGGGATATTGGGGGTGATGGGGATATGGGGGGGTGATGGAGATATGGGGGTGATGGGGATAAGGGGCGATGGAGCTACAGGGTGGAGATGGGGGGTACAGGGGGGATATGGGATATGGTGGGGGTGGGGATGTGGGGATGACGACGTGGGTCCCATTCCTCATGGGGTGATGGGGGGCTCCCATTGCTCACCTCCCCACCCCACCCCATAGACGTCTATGGGGTGCAGCAGAAGCGCAAGCGGGGGATGCCGGACGTGCTGGAGGAGCTCTCAGGATCAGGTGGGTTTGGGGGGGTCACCCCTCCAATGGGGGCGCCCCCCATGGCCGGGGCTGGGCTGCCCCTGCGCCACATGCCCCCATAGATCCATATGGGATCGAAGCCAAGAGGAGGAAGAAGCCCCCGGGATACATGGAGCACTTCCCCCCACTGCCTGTGGCCGGTGGGTCCTGGGGGGGACATGGGGGGGTCCCATTGACACCTATGGGGGGTCCCATTGGCACCTATAGGGGGGATCCCATTGGCACCTATGGGGGGATCCCATTGACAGATGGGGGGGTGCCATTGGCACCTATGGGGGGGTCCCATTGACACCTATGGGGGGGTCCCATTGGCACCTATGGGGGGATCCCATTGGCACCTATGGGGGGGTCCCATTGACACCTGTTGTGGGGTCCCATTGACACCTATGGGGGGCTCTCATTGGCACCTATGGGGGGTCCCATTGACACCTATGGGGGGCCCCACTGACACCTATGGGGTTGTCCCATTGGCACCTATGGGGGAGTCCCATTGACACCTATGGGGGGATCCCATTGGCACCTGTGGGGGGGTCCCATTGACACCTGTCGGGGAGTCCCATTGACACCTATGGGGGGGTCCCATTGGCACCTATGGGGGGAAATGGGGAGAGCTTGGCCTGAGCTGGGGCAGAAGACCCCCCAAAAGGGTGGGAGAGGGCCCTGGTGACCCCATGCCCCCTTTTAACCCCCCCAACCCCATTTTTAACCCTTCCCTTTTTGACCCCCCCAAAACCCCATTTCCCCCCCAAAATCCCATTTTCCCACCCAAAAGAAAACCATTTCCTCCCCAAAACCCCCATTTTTACCCCTTCCCCATTTTACCCCCCAAAAACCCTTTCCCCCCCCCCCCCCCAATCCCCTCTATTAACCCCATCCCTGTGCTTGTCCCCCCCCCACAGATCCGCTGTTATCCATGGATCCGGACCCCCTGGACCCCCCCCTCTACGTCCCCTTCGCCCCCCCGGCGCTGCCCCCCCCGTACCCACTGCTGGACCTGCCCGAGCTGCTCTCGGAGCCCTATGGGGCGCCCCATGGGGATGCCCCCCCCCCACCAACGGCCACCCTGGTGGGTACCCACATGTTCCCAGGCCACGTCTGACCCCCCCCCTGGCCACACACAGGACTTGGGATCCCCCCCCCTCCAAGGATATGGGGGGGACCCTGCTGTGCCCCCCCCCCCCCCCATGCCCCGGGCTGGCTGGACCCCCCCGGGGCGCCCCGCAGCCCCCCCCCCCCCGGTTCCAGAGGCCTTGCACTATATTTATGGGGGGGTCGGAATAAAGCCATGGATGGATTCCAGTGCGGAATGGGTGTGAATGGGGAATGGGGCACCCAGTATGGACCAGTATGGGAGCGGGGCCATATACAGTCTGCACAGTATAGCCGCAGTACCATATAGGCTCTATCCTCTATAGCAGCGGTACCATATAGGGTCTGTCCCTATAGCCCCGGTACCATATAGGGTCTGTCCCTATAGCCCGGGTACCATATAGGGTCTGTCCCTATAGCCCCGGTACCATATAGGGTCTGTCCCTATAGCACCAGTACCATATAGGGTTTGTCCCCTATAGCCCCGGTACCATGTAGGGTCTGTCCCCTATAGCCCAGGTACCATATAGGGCCTGTCCCTATAGCCCCGGTACCATATAGGGTCTGTCCCTATAGCCCCGGTTCCATATAGGGTCTGTCCCCTATAGCCCCGGTACCATATAGGGTCTGTCCCCTATAGCCCCGGTACCATATAGGGTCTGTCCCCTATAGCCCCGGTTCCATATAGGGTCTGTCCCTATAGCCCCGGTACCATATAGGGTCTGTCCCCTATAGCCCCGGTACCATATAGGGTCTGTCCCTATAGCCCCGGTACCATATAGGGCCTGTCCCTATAGCCCCGGTACCATGTAGGGTCTGTCTCCTATAGCCCCGGTACCATATAGGGTCTGTCCCTATAGCACCAGTACCATATAGGGTTTGTCCCCTATAGCCCCAGTACCATGTAGGGTCTGTCCCTATAGCCCCGGTACCATATAGGGTCTGTTCCTATAGCCCCGGTACCATATAGGGGCTGTTCCTATAGCCCCGGTACCATATAGGGTCTGTCCCTATAGCCCCGGTACCATATAGGGTCTGTCCCCTATAGCCCCGGTTCCATATAGGGCCTGTCCCTATAGCCCGGGTACCATATAGGGTCTGTCCCTATAGCCCCAGTACCATATAGGGTCTGTCCCCTATAGCCCCGGTACCATATAGGGTCTGTCCCATATAGCCCCGGTACCATATAGGGCCTGTCCCTATAGCCCCGGTACCGTATAGGGTCTGTCCCTATAGCCCCAGTACCATATAGGGTCTGTCCCCTATAGCCCCGGTACCATATAGGGTCTGCCCTGTGTAGCCCCGGAACTGAACCGCTCTGCCCACCGTACCCCCGTTTCCGGTCGGACCACCATCGCTGCGGGACCGCCCTCCTCAGACCACGCCCCCTTTCTCCTCCCTCCCTTCCTTCCCACTTCCGCTTCCGGCGCGCTCGGTGCCGCGGGCTCGGCGCTGGTGGGTAATGGCGGCGGCGGCGGCTCCGCTCCCCTCCGCGTCCCCCCCTTCTCCTTCCCCCCTTTCTTTATGGTTCCCCCCGTTGATGGTTCCGCCCCGCTCTCTCCGTAGGGCCCGGTCCCGGTGTTACCGGAGGTGCTCGAGGTCCTTGGGGGGGGGGGGGGGGCGGAACCGGCGGGATGTGGCACGAGGCGCGGAAGCACGAGCGGAAGCTGCGCGGGATGATGGTGGATTACAAGAAACGGGCGGAGCGGCGCCGGGAGTACTACGAGAAGATCGTGAGGGAACCCGGAACGGGATAGCGGGAGCACCGCCCCCCTGGCACCGGGATAACGGGAACAGACCCTATGGGACCCCCCCCTATGGGACAGGGATAACGGGAACAGCTCCCCTATGGGATAGGGATAACGGGAATAGCCCTCCTATGGGACCGGGATAACGGGAACAGACCCTATGGGACCCCCCATGGGATAGGGATAACGGGAACATCGCCCCTATGGGATAGGGATAACGGGAACAGCCCCCTATGGGATAGGGATAATGGGAACAGCTCCCCTATGGGACCGGGATAACGGGAACAGGCCCCCCCATGGGATAGGGATAACGGGAACAGCCCCCCTATGGGATACGGATAATGGGAACAGCCCCCCCCATGGGACCGGGATAACGGGAACAGCCCCCCCATGGGATAGGGATAACGGGAATAGCCCCCCTATGGGATTGGGATAGCGGGAACAGCCCCCCTATGGGATAGGGATAATGGGAACAGCTCCCCTATGGGATAGGGATAGCGGGAACACCCCCCTATGGGATAGGGATAATGGGAACAGCCCCCCCATTGGATCCCTGCTATAACCGGGATAACGGGAACAGCCCCTATGGGACCCCCCCTAGCACCGGGATAACGGGAACAGCCCCACCCCCATGGGATAGGGATAACGGGAACAGCCCCCTGGATTGGATCCCTGCTATAACCGGGATAACGGGAACACCCCCCCATGGGACAGGGATAATGGGAACATCCCCCCCATGGGATAGGGATAATGGGAACATCCCCCCCATGGGACCTCTCCTATAACTGGGATAATGGGAGCAGCCCCCATGGGACCGGGATAACGGGAACAGCCCCACAAAAAAAACACCCCCCCCCAGAACCGGGACAACGGAAACACCCCCCTCCATGTATCACTGGGATAACAGGAACACCCCCCTATGGGAGAGGGATAATGGGAACATCCCCCCCAACCCCAAACCAAACACACCCCCAACAAACAACCCCCATATATCACTGGGATAACACCCCACCTAGAACTGGGATAACGGGAACACCCCCCCATGGAACTGGGATAATGGGAACACCCTCCATGGAACCCCCCTCAGACTCCGATAATGGGACCCCACCATGGGACTCTGGGGCCTGCATTCCCTATGGCTCAAGGCTCCCTTTTCCCTATGGCTCAGGGCTCCCTTTTCCCTATGGATCAGGGCTCCCTGTTCCCTATGGATCAGGGCTCCCTGTTCCCTATGGATCAGGGCACCCTTTTCCCTATGGCTCAGGGCTCCCTGTTCCCTATGGATCAGGGCTCCCTGTTCCCTATGGATCAGGGCTCCCTGTTCCCTATGGCTCAGGGCTCCCTGTTCCCTATGGCTCGGGGCTCCCTGTTCCCTATGGCTCAGGGCTCCCTGTTCCCTATGGATCAGGGCTCCCTGTTCCCTATGGATCAGGGCTCCCTTTTCCCTATGGATCGGGGCTCCCTGTTCCCTATGGATGAAAACCCTCCTCCCTATGGCTCAGGGCTCCCTGTTCCCTATGGCTCAGGGCTCCCTGCCTATGGCTCAGGGCTCCCTCCCTAATTCCCCTCACCTATGGATTGGGGCTCCCTGTTCCCTATGGCTCAGGGCTCCCTGTTCCCTATGGCTCAGGGCTCCCTGTTCCCTATGGCTCAGGGCTCCCACTTTTCCCTATGGATCAGGGCTCCCTGTTCCCTATGGATCGGGGCTCCCTGTTCCCTATGGATCAGGGCTCCCTGTTCCCTATGGATCAGGGCTCCCTGTTCCCTATGGCTCAGGGCTCCCTGTTCCCTATGGATTGGGGCTCCCTGTTCCCTATGGATTGGGGTTCCCATTGGCTCTCCCCGCTCCTCACCCCTCCCTTCCCCGTTCCCACCCCTCTTTTCCCGCTCCAGAAGAAGGATCCGGCCCAGTTCCTGCAGGTCCACGGCCGAGCCTGCAAAATCCACCTGGATTCAGCCGTGGCCTTGGCTGCTGAGAGCCCGGTGAACATGTGGGTACCGCATGGGGATGGGGCTGTTGCTATGGGAACGGGGCTGTTGCTATGGGAACGGGGCTGCTGCGATGGGAACGGGGCTGCTCCAATGGGAACGGGGCTGCGCCAATGGGAACGGGGCTGCTGCGATGGGAATGGGGCTGTTGCTATGGGAACGGGGCTGCTGCGATGGGAATGGGGCTGCTGCGGTGGGAATGGGGCTGTTGCTATGGGAATGGGGCTGCTCCAATGGGAACGGGGCTGCTCCAATGGGAATGGGGCTGCTCCAATGGGAATGGGGCTGCTCCAATGGGAATGGGGCTGCTCCAATGGGAATGGGGCTGCTCCTATGGGAATGGGGCTGCTGCGATGGGAACGGGGCTGCTGCGATGGGAATGGGGCTGCGCCAATGGGAACGGGGGTGCTCCAATGGGAATGGGGCTGCTGCGATGGGAATGGGGCTGCTCCAATGGGAATGGGGCTGTTCCAATGGGAATGGGGCTGCTGCAATGGGAATGGGGCTGTTGCTATGGGAACGGGGCTGCTCCAATGGGAATGGGGCTGTTCCGATGGGAATGGGGCTGCTCCAATGGGAATGGGGCTGTTCCTATGGGAATGGGGATGCGCCAATGGGAATGGGGCTGATCCAATGGGAATGGGGCTGTTGCGATGGGAATGGGGGTGCTGCAATGGGAATGGGGCTGTTGCTATGGGAATGGGGCTGCTCCAATGGGAATGGGGGTGCTCCAATGGGAATGGGGCTGCTGCGATGGGAATGGGGCTGCTCCAATGGGAATGGGGCTGCTGCGATGGGAATGGGGCTGCTGCGATGGGAATGGGGCTGCTCCCATGGGAATGGGGCTGCTCCCATGGGAATGGGGGGGATGCTCTTCCCAATGGGCATTCCCAGTATTCCCACCTCTTTTCCCATAGGATGCCCTGGCAAGGAGACACCAACAACATGATCGACCGCTTCGACGTGCGGGCGCACCTGGATCACATCCCCAGTTACAGCCCAGCCCTGCTGAACCCCATGTGAGGGGGGGGGGGGGAATTCCAATGGGAATTGGGGTGCTCCGGATGGAGGCTGGGAATTGCATTGGGATCAATGCGGAGCCCCCGGTACCCAAAGGATGAGGTGGAGGGAGCAGGGGATGGAGTCATCCATGGGGTAACCCATAGGGATGGGTTTGGCTCTGGCTCCATCCCATGTCCTAGAGCTGCTCCTGGGCCTTGACATCCCATTCCAAAGGGAATTCCAACCGGGAATGATCCCTTAGTGGCCTCCATCCCTCCCTGCTCCAAATCCCAGCACAAGGCCGGCATTCCCCATCCTTTAGGAACTGGGAATCTCATGGAGCCACCTCCTAGGCATGGGATTGGCTCCATCCCATGTCCCAGAGCTGCTCCTGGTCCTTGACATCCCCTTCCCAAAGGGAATTCCAACTGGGAATGATCCCTTAGTGGCCTCCATCCCTGCTCGCTCCAAATCCCAGCACAAGGCCGGCATTCCCCATCCTTTAGGAACTGGGAATCTCATGGAGCCACCTCCTAGGGATGGGATTGGCTCCATCCCATGTCCCAGAGCTGCTCCTGGTCCTTGACATCCCATTCCAAAGGGAATTCCAACTGGGAATGATCCCTTAGTGGCCTCCATCCCTGCTCCAAATCCCAGCACAAGGCCGGCATTCCCCATCCTTTAGGAACTGGGAATCTCATGGAGCCACCTCCTAGGCATGGGATTGGCTCCATCCCATGTCCCAGAGCTGCTCCTGGTCCTTGACATCCCATTCCAAAGGGAATTCCAATTGGGAATGATCCCTTAGTGGCTGTCTCCATCCCTGCATGCTCCAAATCCCAGCACAAGGCCGGGATTCCCCATCCTTTGGGAACTGGGAATCTCATGGAGCCACCTCCTAGGGATGGGATTGGCTCCATCCCATGTCCCAGAGCTGCTCCTGGTCCTTGACATCCCCTTCCCAAAGGGAATTCCAACCGGGAATGATCCCTTAGTGGCCTCCATCCCTCCTCACTCCAAATCCCAGCACAAGGCCGGCATTCCCCATCCTTTAGGAACTGGGAATCTCATGGAGCCACCTCCTAGGGATGGGATTGGCTCCATCCCATGTCCCAGAGCTGCTCCTGGTCCTTGACATCCCATTCCAAAGGGAATTCCAATTGGGAATGATCCCTTAGTGGCCTCCATCCCTGCATGCTCCAAATCCCAGCACAAGGCCGGCATTCCCCATCCTTTAGGAACTGGGAATCTCATGGAGCCACCTCCTAGGCATGGGATTGGCTCCATCCCATGTCCCAGAGCTGCTCCTGGGCCTTGACATCCCATTCCAAAGGGAATTCCAACCGGGAATGATCCCTTAGTGGTTGCCTCCATCCCTGCTCACTCCAAATCCCAGCACAAGGCCGGCATTCCCCATCCTTTAGGAACTGGGAATCTCATGGAGCCACCTCCTAGGCATGGGATTGGCTCCATCCCATGTCCCAGAGCTGCTCCTGGTCCTTGACATCCCATTCCAAAGGGAATTCCAACCGGGAATGATCCCTTAGTGGCCTCCATCCCTGCTCGCTCCAAATCCCAGCACAAGGCCGGCATTCCCCATCCTTTAGGAACTGGGAATCTCCCCCTGGGGATGCTTTTCCCTTCCCTTGCACCATTCCCGGCATTCCCAAGCTTTCTGCTTCCATTGCAGTTCCCCAGAGCAGGAATCAGACGAGCGCAAATGCAACTACGAGCGCTACCGGGGCCTGGTCCAGAACGACTTCGCCGGCAGTGAGTGCCCTATGGGGCGCCCCATAAGTTATGGGGCACAGCCCCCCCCCCCCCCCTTTTCCCATAGCATCCCTGCATCCCGCCCGCTGTGCTTCCAGTCTCGGAGGAGCAGTGCCTGTACCAGATCTACATGGATGAGCTCTATGGGGGCCTACCCAAGCCCAATGAGGAGGAGAAGAAGAAGTGAGTCATCCCAATGGGAATGCCGCGGTATTCCCAAGCTCTGGAAGAGGGAAACGGGGTGGGAATTGGGATTGAGCATCCCCATGTGCAGGCTGGCTGAGAAGAAGGCTTCCATTGGGTACACCTATGAGGACAGCACCGTGGCCGAGCTGGAAAACAGCACGGAAAAGGGTCGGGAAGAGGAGGATTCTGAGGAGGAAAACAGCAACACGGATGAGGATGAAGTCATTCCCGACATTGGTACTACCCCCCCCTCATTCCAACCCCTTATCCCAATGCTGATCCCTGGATCCGTGCTCAGCTCCCTCCCTATTCCCAACATTCCCAGATGTGGAAGTGGACGTGGATGAGCTCAACCAGGAGCAAGTGGCCGACCTCAACAAGCAGGCGACCACCTATGGGATGGCCGAGGGTGACTTTGTCAGGTAAGGGTGGAGCGGGGCCGTATTCCAAAGGGAGAATCCCTATGGATGCGCTCCGGTCCCAGGCGCCCCATCCCTTTCCCTATGGGGGCTCTGATGGAGCCTTCATCCCAAGGATGCTGCGGAAGGACAAGGAGGAGGCGGAGGCCATCAAGAATGCCAAGGCTCTGGAGGAGGAGAAGGCCATGTACTCGGTATGGGATGGATCCATAGGGAACCGTTCCCATATTCCCTGCTGCCGGAGGGGGTCCTGAGCTCCAGATGCTTCCCACAGGGCCGACGTTCCCGGCGCCAGAGGAGGGAATTCCGGGAGAAGCGCTTGAAAGGCCGGAAGATCAGTCCCCCCAGGTGGGTGCTGCGGCCATGGCATTCCCAATGCTGGGATCCAGCACCCAGCCCTGCTCCATCCCATTCCCATCTCCCGGAGCTGGGATACAGCTCCCATCCCTGCTCCATCCCATTCCCATCTCCAGGAGCTGGGATACAGCTCCCATCCCTGCTCCATCCCATTCCCATCTCCCAGAGCTGGGATACAGCTTCCATCCCTGCTCCATCCCATTCCCATCTCCCGGAGCTGGGATACAGCTCCCATCCCTGCTCCATCCCATTCCCATCTCCCGGAGCTGGGATACAGCTTCCATCCCTGCTCCATCCCATTCCCATCTCCTGGAGCTGGGATACAGCTCCCATCCCTGCTCCATCCCATTCCCATCTCCCGGAGCTGGGATACAGCTCCCATCCCTGCTCCATCCCATTCCCATCTCCCGATGCTGGGATACAGCTCCCATCCCTGCTCCATCCCATTCCCATCTCCCGGAGCTGGGATCCCGCCTCCATCCCATTCCCATCTCCAGAGCTGGGATACAGCTTCCATCCCTGCTCCATCCCATTCCCATCTCCCGGGGCTGGGATCCAGCCTCCATCCCATTCCCATCTCCTGGAGCTGGGATCCAGCCTCCATCCCATTCCCATCTCCAGAGCTGGGATCCCGCCTCCATCCCATTCCCATCTCCAGAGCTGGGATCCAGCCTCCATCCCATTCCCATCTCCAGAGCTGGGACCCAACCTCCATCCCATTCCCATCTCCCGGAGCTGGGATCCAGCCTCCATCCCATTCCCATCTCCAGAGCTGGGATCCCGCCCCCATCCCATTCCCATCACCCATCCCCTGGTGCCTGGACCCTTCCCTATCCCTATCCCTTCCCCTTCCCTTGGGAACTCCTCTCCTCCACAGCTACGCCCGCCGGGACAGCCCCACCTACGACCCCTACAAGCGGTGAGTGCCCCCCAATGCCCCCCCTTTCCCCATACCCTTCCCCCCTTCGGGACCTCCACTCCCCCCCCTGATCCCCATTATCCCTCCCCAGCTCCCCATCGGAATCGACCTCATGCTCCCGCTCCCGCTCCCGCTCCCCATCCCCGGCGCGGGAGGAGAAGATCACCTTCATCACCAGCTTCGGGGGCAGCGACGAGGAACCCGCTCCCGCTCCCGCTCCCACCGACGGCATTCCCGGCAGAGCCCGCGCCGCACCGGGCCAGCCGCTGCCCGCCCATGGAGCATCCGCCCGGTCAGTGCCGCTTCCCATAGGAGCAATGGATGGGGATGGGATCACCCAGTTCCAACCATAGGCGCTAAACTGTGGTACCCAAGGCTTTATCCAGCCTGGCCTTGAGCAGTGCCAGGGATGGAGCATTCCCAACCTCCCTGGGCACCCATCCCAGTGCTTCACCACCATAACAGGAAAGAATTCCCTCCTTATATCCCATCTAAACTTCCCCTATTTAAGTTTTAACCCATTATCCCTTGTCCTATCACTAAGTCCCTCCCCAGCATCCCTATATCCCCCCTTCCGATACTGGAAGGATGCTCTGAGCTCTCCCTGCATCCTTCTCTCCTCCAGCCCCAATGTTCTCATCCCGGCTCCATATGGGATCTGCTCCAACCCCTGAGCATCCTCATGGCCTCCTCTGGATTGTCCCAACAGATCCATGTCCTCTTCATGCTGGGGACACCACAACTGCGCCCAGTGCTCCCAGTGAGGCCTCACCACAGCAAAGGGGCAGGATCCCCTCCTTCACCCTGTTCCTTTTGATGCACTGGGCTCAAGCACACACTGAACCCGGCTCATGTCCATTTCCCCATTGACCAGCACCCCAAGTCCTTTCCCAGCAGGGAATGGGAATGGGGGACGGAGCCTCCATCACCGCATCCATACAATGGATCCCAAAAGCAGGATCCCAGCCTCATCCCAAGCTTCCATTGCAGGCGCCGCTCTTCCTCCTCATCCACGTCGCCCTCCTCATCCTCATCCAGCTCCCGCTCCAGCTCCCGCTCCCACCGCGGGGGGGGCTCGCACCGCTCCGGCCGTTCCGGCCGTTGCCATGGGTACCGCTATTCCCGCTCGCGCTCCCGCTCCCGCCGCTATTCCGGAGGGGGGTCCCGGGACGGGCGCCGGCGCTCCAGGTCCTATTCCCCGGAGCGGGGCCATCGCTACAGCTCCCGCCGCTGGTCCAGGTGAGCGCTGCCATGGGAATGGGGTGGGATGGGGTTGGGATCATCGGGATCCAATGGGGATGCTCCTTGAGCACAGCGGGGAGATCCCATGGGACACAGTGGGGGGGTCCCATAGGATACAGTGGAGCTCCTATAGAACACAATAGAGCATCCATAGGACGTAGTGGGGAGGTCCCGTAGAACACAATGGGGTGCTCCCATAGGATACAGTGGGGAGGTCCCATAGAACACAGTGGGATACTCCCATATGACACAATGGGGAGCTCCCATAGGACACAGTGGGGGGCTCCCATAGAACACAATTGGGAGGTCCCATAGGACACCATGGAGCATCCATAGGACACCATGGAGCATCCATAGGACACTATGGAGCTCCCATAGGACACACTGGGGAGCTCCCATAGGACACAGTGGGGGGCTCCCATAGAACACAATTGGGAGGTCCCATAGGACACCATGTAGCATCCATAGGACACCATGGAGCTCCCATAGGACACAATGGGAAGTTCCCATAGGACACAATGGGAAGTTCCCATAGGACACAATGGGGAGCTCCCATAGGACACAGTGGGGAGCTCCCATAGGACACAGTGGGGAGGTCCCATAGAACACAATCAAACTCCCATAGGACACAACGGGGAGCTCCCATAGGACACAGTGGGGAGGTCCCATAGAACACAATCAAACTCCCATAGGACCCAATGGGGAGCTCCCATAGGACCCAATGGAGCATCCATAGGGACCCAAAGTCCTGTTTCTGGCTCCCGCTGAGCTCCTCACCCAGTTCCCATTCCCTTTCCTTGGGGCTGCTCCATCCATCCCCCCCCCCCCTCCCATCCATCCTCATTCCCTATGGACCCCCCCTTTCCCAGGAGCCGCTCGCGCTCCCGGCGCCGGCGCCATTGGAGCAGCAGCCGCAGCAGCCGGAGCCGCAGCGATTCCCGCAGCCCCAGTAGATCCCAGTCTCCGGAGCGGGACAAGGCTCCGCGCCCCACAGCATCGCCCGCCGTGGGGGAGAAGCTGAAAAAGTGAGGCCCGAAAGGCGGCAATGGGAATACTGGGAATACTGGGAATACTGGGAATACTGGGAATGCCGGATCCTGACCCCATCCTTCCCCCCCATAGGCCTGACAGTGCAGCCGGTAAAGAGACGGGAGCTGCCAAAGTCAGTAAGAACGGAAGCGCAGCAGAGGGGGGGCCCCCCCGTGCTCATCCCGCTTCCCGCTGGGAGCCTGGGACCGGCCGGGATAGCCCTTGGGATAATGGGGGGGGGGGGGAGCGGGGAACACCCCCCCATTGGGGCTGCTGGCAATGGGGCAATGGGATCTGGGGGGGAGTTGGGGTGTTAAATGTATTGGGATCCAGCACTGGGACCCATGGGGAGATGGCAGTGGGGCAATGGGATCCATTGGGAGATGGCAGTGGAGCAATGGGATCCACTGGGAGATGGCCGTGGGGCAATGGGATCCATTGGGAGATGGCCATGGGGCAATGGGATCCATTGGGAGATGGCCATGGGGCAATGGGATCCATTGGGAGATGGCACTGGGGCAATGGGACCCATTGGGATCCAGCACTGGGACCCACTGGGAGTTGGGGCCCTGGGATCCATTGGGAGCAGGCCACAGAGCACTGGGACCCCCAAGATCCCCCCCCCCCCCCATTCCTCTGTGCTGTCCCCATCACCCAGTGCCCCCCAAGCACCCATGGGTGCTGCTGGGGGGGGGTCCCACCATGGATGGGGCCCTGGGGGGGGGTCCCATTGAAAGGGGGGGGTGCAGCGCATCCCCGTGTGCCCCCCCCCCCGCTCACAGGGGCTCTGGATCCTTCCAGCCCAAGCTGACCCCGCAGGAGAAGCTGAGGCTGAGGATGCAGAAGGCGCTGAACCGGCAGTGTGAGGGCACCCCCATAGACACCCCCATAGACAACCCCATAGACACCCCCCATAGACACCCCCATAGACACACCATCCCCATTGACCCCCATCTCCATTGACCCCCATGTCCCCATTGGCCCCCATGTCCCCATTGAGCCCCCATCCCCATTGACCCCCATGTCCCCATTGAGCCCCCTATCCCCGTTGACCCCAATGTCCCCATTGAGCCCCCCAATCTACATTGACCCCCATGTCCCCATTGCACCCCCCTCCCCATTGAGCCCCATGTCCCCATTGAGCCCCCCGTCCCCATTGACCCCAATGTCCCCATTGAGCCCCCTATCCCCATTGACCCCCATGTCCCCATTGAGCCCCCTATCCCCGTTGACCCCAATGTCCCCATTGAGCCTCCCATCCCCATTGAGCCCCCCATCCCCAATGACCCCCATGTCCCCATTGAGCCCCCGATGTCCCCATTGACCCCAATGTCCCCATTGACCCCCATGTCCCCATTGAGCCCCCCATCCCCATTGACCCCAATGTCCCCATTGAGCCCCCCATCCCCATTGACCCCAATGTCCCCATTGACCCCCATCCCCATTGACCCCAATGTCCCCATTGACCCCAATGTCCCCATTGACCCCAATGTCCCCATTGACCCCCATCCCCATTGACCCCCATGTCCCCATTGACCCCCATGTCCCCATTGACCCCCCCCGTTCCCTGCAGTTAAAGCTGGGA